AAGTTCAGCACTTTCCTGCCTCAGTGTCTACTCCCCTGGACATGGAGCCGGTATGACCATCCAGGTGAACAGGACAGAGTGTGATGATGGCCAGCATTCGACATGGCACCTGGTGCAAAAGACACTAAGGCAGCTGAAACCGATGTGGTTCAGTGGATAGAGTGTCGGCCTGCAGACTGAAAGGTCCCAGGTTTGATTCCAGTCAAGGGCATGTACCTTGGTTGCGGGCACATCCCCAGTAGGGGGTGTGCAGGAGGCAGCTGGTTGATGTTTCTCTTTCATCCATGTTTCTAGCTCTCTATCCCTCTCCCTTCCTCTCTATAAAAAGTCAATAAAATAAAATAATTTTTTTTAAAAATGACACTAAGGCAAAGCCCTGTGAGGCAGGTCTCAGCCTCCGTTTTCCTGCTAAGAAAACAGGTTCAGGAAACCTGTGTCCAAAATTCCAGTGGCAGGTCCGTGGAGGGGCCAGGATTTGAGTATCAGGCTGTCAGGACAGACTCCAGAGCCCATGCTTGGAGTCTTGTCCAAGGTCACCCAGGCAGCGAGCACAGCAGTGCTTCTCCGAACCACAGGGCATGAATTACGAGCGGCTGAAACGCATGAGCAATGCCTACCAGCCGGGCAATATGGAATCGCCAGATAAGAGCCGCACGCACGCTGCCGCGCACGTCGCTGACACACACTGAGAGTGGTACGTGAGCAGCAGGAACAGAACAGCCGAAGCACACTGCCCGGTTGCACAGAGTCATTAATTTCAGAGAAAGAAATTAATGAGGGATACTGCAATATCAATGAAGTAGCAAGAGTATAATGAGTTATGCCTGCCCCCCACGAGGGACAGCTTTTTAATTATTTTTTTCAAACGCACTGCAGTCACCACGTAGGTGATCCATACCTGACCCGCTCTCTCTCTTCGGAGAGGGGAAAACACATTTTACCCAGCGTCAAGTTCAAGTAAAAACTCATCAGGATCGAAATAACTCTGGGCTCCCAGGGCTCGGCAGGGGAATTTGGCTCTCTCTGGCTGCCGGCTGGTCTTAGGGTGACCTTTGTTCTAGACAAACCACTGGCAGATGAAATCTAGGAATAATTCTCTTTGCATCATTAACTGGAACATGGAGGGCTCTGCTGTGTTTCGATAGGAGTGATAAAGAGAACATGACACATCCATGTCTTATACGCCTGCCTACTGACTTGCAGCGATTGCTCCAAGCGATGTACATGCAGGAAAGACCAGGGAAAGGAGAGAGGCCGCAGAGAAAACCAACCCTACTGATACCCTGAGCTTGGGCCTCCAGCCTCCAGAACTGTAAAACATTAAAGCTACTGCTTAAGCCACCCAGTCTCAGATGTTACGCTATGGCAGCCCTAGCACACTCACTCAGTTCTCTCGGAGCACAAGCTCTTTCTGGAATCCTAACCCGAACTGTTAGCTGTTCTCCTTCCTGCGCCCCCCCCCCTCTCTCTCTGCCCGGCTTTGAGACTCACCGCTCTCTTCCCACCTCCCTGGCTCCGGTAACTGTTACGTCCTGAAGTTCTCAGGCTGCCCTGCGGAGTGCCCTGGCTTATACCTAACCCCTGGGTCACCCACCCAGCCTCTCCTCCACCTCAGCCTGTGACAGATGCACCTGCAAAGAAACGTTGCTCTCAGACCTGGAGCCCGGCGCCGTCCAGCTAAGTTACTGGAGGTGTTACTAATCCTCCCAGAACCACAGTTTACCCGTCTACTTCAGTCACAGCAGCTAGAATTGTAAAATCCCTCATCTAACCACAGAGGGCATGAAATATGAAGGTATATATCCAGTAAGGGTGCAGTAGGAACATCACAGAATATTTAGTGACACCGAAATGCTCATGAGATATTAAGAAACGATGATTGTAAAGCACTACTTATTATAAACACATATTTTTGTAGAAGAGAATATCAACGCATGAAAAAAGACTTAAGACAATCGTAAAGCTAAGAGTAATTATTTTCTAATTATGCTTTCTTTATACATCCCAGGCGATCAATGGTGTTAATACTTTTTAACTAGAAATAAAGTTATTTTTTAAATCTTTCACAGTCTCCTCTTGACTTGTTCCTCCTCAAAGATAAAAACAAGACAAAGCCAATTGATACGACATAGTGACACCCTGGCAGGTGGCTCAGTCAGCTGAAACATCATCCTGTCCATCAAAAGGTTGCAGGTTCGATTCCCAGTCAGGGCACATACCTAGGTTACGGGTACAATCCCCAGTTGGGGAGTCAATAGGAGGCTACCGAGTGATGTTTTCTTCTCACATCAATGTTTCTCTCTCTCTCTCTCTCTCTCTCTCTCTCTCTCTCTCTCTCTCTCTCTCTCTCTCTCTCAGACAATAAACATATCCTTGGGTGAGAACTGAAAACAGGACACAGGAAGTCCATGGCATTAGCTACTTATTCTTTCCTACAATAAGCGTGCTGTGTCTTGAACTTGGAACAATGGGGCAACTAAGGACACGGTGCTAAGGGAAGGTCGCCCCCAGGACTGGTAGTATGAGTGGACTCCCCAAGGGTCAATTCTTGGACCCCCATCGAATGGCTTCCACTGCCACCCTGCCTGCCTGTCCCCCGAGAAAGACAGTGAGTGCCCCGTGTCACCCACGGGTCACTGTGTGGCCGCGGGTGGGGCTTGGCTCCCCGCTGGGCTGCAGCGGAGCTGCCAGCAGAGACACGGCCCTGTTGTCCGGGCTTTGTCCCCTGTAATGAGCTCCCTGGCTCCCTCCCTACGCTGGAGAGCCAGCCCCAGAAGCCCCTTGAATGGCCCATCGAGGAATCTGGGCGTTTGGCAGTGGCAGGGCCGAAAGAGGCCAATGAGCATTCGCAGTCATTTCAGTGGAAAAGTCAGCCTGACTCGAGACGGCTGGGCACAGTGGGGCCGGTGACAGGGCCACAGACACACAGCGGGCCCCTCTCTGGGGACCCTGCAGGCGCCCGGGGCAGATCTTGCCAGCAGGGACGTGCATGCTCGACCTGGGCACCACATGGCTTGGTCCCCTTCCCCGCTGACAGTCAGCTGTGAACAAGCTGTGTTTGACACAGGCGGTGTTTCTATTCCTTCCCATCTCCCTCCGCGCTCAGGGCTTCAGCATCTGACCCCTGACCCGACAGCTTCTTGCAGGCCTCTCCCTCTTACCCAGCCTTCCGGGAGCTGGGGCCGGAGGCACACGGCCACTCACCCCAACGCGGGCGCATTCACACCCACAGTCCCGGCACCGGTCCCTTCTCCTCTCCTCCTCTCCGCAGGGAGCTAAGAGGCCTTAATTCATATTGATTCTGTTCTGTGGGTTCCTCTGACTACTTCCCAGAGCAGACTTAAGTGGCTCCCCAGTACGGCAGAGAAGAGCTAACATTCTCATGATCACTCACGCGCTTTCATGACCCAGGTAGTAAATGGATGGACCCGTTACGCCCCGCATATACAATGGCCGTAAGTGGCTCCGGGAGAATCCGAACCACGCATGGATTACAAGGCCGCCCGTGGAGGCCAGGGGCACAGGAGGCCGGCTCTCCGCTGTTCCCTGGGAAACAAAGACGCGCGAAGCCAGCAGGGAGACCCTCGGAGGGTCCGTCTGCATTTGTTTGGGATGCTGGCCAGCTGGACCTGAGCCGCCGCCATGCCCGTGGGCCATGCAAATGGCAGATGATCTGGGCCTGGCTTCACTACTGCAGAGGAGATGGGGTCCGAGCAGAAATGTGGCCGGAACGTCCTTCCTAACCAAGACTCCCAGCAGATCGCACAGATGAAGGCTCGGAAGGGTGGGAGACCCCTCTGCCCACACTTCCACTTCCCACACCCCAAACCAAAATGCCTCCCCATCCTATGGCTTGGCATGCGCTGACCAGGGAAATAACGTAGCCCTGCCTGTCAGGGAAACTTCCAGAAGAGAGCTCTGAGCCCGGGGCCCTGTGCAGAAGCCCCGAGCAGACATGATTGAGCACAGTTTGAGGAGGTATCTGGGGAGGCATTTTTCTACTTGATTCTATCATAGGAGACAAGAACTCAGCTTTTCACTCTCCGTTTCCTTCTCGGCGCCCTGATTTATCTACTTGCTGCTGTCACTGGCAGAAAACATCTCTCCCAGGGTACTAGGGCAGCGTCCGTCAAGTCAGAGGGCAGTGGTCCAGCAGGAGACTACTGCCAGATGGCCCCAAGTTCACGGGCACACAAAAGAGCAGGTAAACAAACATAAACCTCCTCCTGACCATGCCTCCTCTCTCAGGTCTCTTAACAATAAATTTCACCACACGGGCATCACCTGGGAGCTTTTTAAAAATGCCTTATGGCCCCTAGAGGGTTTGACTCAATGGATAGAGCATCGGCCTGCAGACCGAAGGGTCCCGGGTTCGGTTCCGGTCAAGGGCACGTACCTTGGTGGCAGGCTCCTCCCCGGCCCCGAGCCCTGGTCAGGGCTTGTGCAGAAGGCACCCCATCGATGTGTTTCTCTCACATTGCTATTTCCCTCTGTCTTTCCCTTTCTCTCCTACTCTCTATAAAAAATAAAATCAGCCGAAACCAGTTTGACTCAGTGGACAGAGCATTGGCCTGGGGACTGAAAGGTCCCAGGTTCGATTCAGTCAAGGGCATGTACCTTGGTTGCGGGCACATCCCCAGTGGGTGGTGCGCAGGAAGCAGCTGATCGATGTTTTTCTCTCATCGATGTTTCTAACTCTCTATCCCTCTCCCTTCCTCTCTGTAAAAAATCAAAAAAATAGAAAAAATAAAAAAATAAAATAAAATCAATGGAAAAATATCCTTGGGTGAGATTTTTTTTTTTTAAAAAAAAGCACTATGCCCAGATGGTACCCCAACCCTACTACACCAGATTTCTCGGGTGCAACTCAGACATTAGCTCTCCAAAGCCCTGTGTCCTGAAGCCGATGGTGAGAAGCAGTGGCTCTGGCAAAACACCAAGTTCAAGGCCCACCCACAGAGAGCCGAGCCCGGTCCCTCCCTCCCCCCCTCTGCTCCTACCTATATAGAGCGAGGAGTCCTTTCTGCGCACGTGGTCGTCGATGTAGGACACGCCCAGGGGCTGCACGGGGGTAGCACCGATGCCCAGCAGCACCTGGGCGCCGATCAGCAGCAGGTACATCATGTTGGTGGCGGTCCGGTTCCGGCAGATGAGGTCGGGGTCCAGCCCCTGGTCGCTGGCCGTGCCGTTGGCGGCGCACACGTCGCGGCCCTCGGCGCCCCAGAGGATCTCGCCCGCCTCGTACTTGTACTGGTGAGTCAGGAACTCGGGCAGGGCGGACAGCAGCGCGCCCAGGGCCATGACGATGCCCCCGCAGCCGATGAGGCGCGGCCGGTGCCCGCGTGCCCCGAAGTAGCTGACGAAGAGGATGAGCGCCAGGTTGCCGATCTCGAAGCTGCTGGCGATCACGCCCACGTCGGCGCTCTGCAGGTTGAACCGCCGCTCCAGGGTGGTCAGCACGCTCACCTGCGGGTGCCAAACAGAGCCTCGGCGTCAATCCCGGTGGACAGCTCGAGGGAAGCCGCTTCCGGCCTCGTGGCACCCCTGCCCCTCTCGGCCCGCCCGGGAGGTTTGTACCAGATGCAAAAGGACACCTGTGCAAGGTGATTTAAACCCGATGAGTCCGATAAGCATTTACTCAGGGCGATAACCCTAACCACACGGTTAGAGAATTAAGTTGCTCACTGGCAGAGAAGTTCTTCTGGGCCCCTTCCCTTCCTGCAACGTCCTGACTGTGTCCAGGAAACATACATTCCCCTACTCCAGTGGTCGGCAAACTCATGAGTTCACAGAGCCAAATACCAACAGGACAACGATGGAAAGTTCTTTGGAGAGCCACATGTTTTAAACTTAAACTTCTTCTAACGCCACTTCTTCAACATAGACTCGCCCAGGCCGTGGTATTTTGTGGAAGAGCCACACGCAAGGGGCCAAAGAGCCGCATGTGGCTCTCGAGCCGCAGTTTGCCGACCACGGCCCTACTCCATCGCACTTCAGGGCCCTCCCATCCTGTAAAAGTCAGAGGTCACGGTGCCTCTATGCTCCGGACAAAGCCTATTCATTTACAAAGCCTGTCTGGGAGGACATGGGAGCCAGGGCCTCCTCACCAGGAGGCTAGCAGACCCAAAGGAAATAAATAAAACGAGACAAAAACCTGGGCAAGCTAGATGATCTCCTTAGGATAAGCAATAGCCCTTCACTTTCTTCTAGAGACTTCCAAACGATGCAGCTGTCCCTAGGGGCCGCCATGTAGGTCATTCCTGACTGTTCTATGCCCTATAGTCCTACCGACACCCCTTGGAGGGGGTATTTTTATGCTTTCTCCCACCTCTCTATTCCTGCCTGCCTTCCATTGTTTCACAAATACTGACTCTCTACTATTGGCCTGATAAGGCTCTCATCACCAAAGAAAAAAACACAAGGAAGAGATGGCACTCAGCATGAACATACACTGTAGCATGGATCTAGCCTTCCTCCAGATGTATAAGGCGCCACAAACTCCCCAACTTCCCAGGCACATGTGCCAACACGCACATACTGTATACACCTGCAATGATCAGCACACATGTGTATTATTTACCTTTATTATAAAAAAGAACGGTAACCCAATGATTCTTGGCCTTACTTCCAACTGCACACATTCAGACAGACTCCGCCGGCCCTGAGGTTCCTTCCCCGGGCACTACAAGTTTCAGATGGCTGGGCCCTCCCAGGTTCGGACCAATTGGTCTGGGAGACACCTGGGCCCTGGGGTTCCTTTAAGGAGCCCCAGGGGATTCTGGGAGCTAATGCAACAACACTTCAGCTCTGGTCCTGGGGAGCTTGCAGAGCAGGGTTCTCTAACACTGACACCTCCCCTCCTCCCCATCCGTGACCGGTGACAGGACAGCTGCGGACCCCTCTGTCACCTGCATTCCAAACCTGATGCCCGTTTCCACTGTGCTTTATATATATATATATATATATATATATATATATATATATATATATTTTTTTTTTTTTTTTTTTTTTTTTTTTTTGTCTTCAGAGAGGAAGGGAGAGGAGGAGAGAGATAAAAACATCAACGATGAGAGAGCATCATGGATCAGCTACCTCCTGCACACTTCCCACTGGGGATTGAGTCTGTAACCCGGGCATGTACTGTGACAAGGAATCGAACCATGACCTCCTGGTTCACAGGCTGAGGCCCAACCACTGAGCCACACCAACCAGGCTCCTTCTAACCCAGGCAAGGCCAACCCTGGGTGTGTGGCTAGATTATTATTTTTCAAACACCAAATATTGGCAACTGTGGAGAAAAGAAATGTATCGAGTCCTGGTCTCATTAAAATGGCTTTCAAATACTCCCCCCAAAACTTCTGAGGGGTCTGGGGGGTGGGGGGTGGGGTAAAAACAAAGGCTTCATTCATTCAGCCCGTTCCTTTGTAACACAAGCGAGCATGATGGCCTATGTGCTCAGACCGAGGCTTATTATAACCAGCAATGCAGTCATGGAGGGAACCCTATGGCCTGGGAGATGGGGGCTTCGGGGTTCACCCAGGCCTTGGTGGTGAATCCAGATATGCCCAGATAAGGCCCTAAGCAGGCACCCCACCTAGGCAGGTCCCGTGGGGACTCGAGAGTCACGTGGATCAGTCCGGTGGGTCTGCAGCCCGCTGACCTCACCCTGCGAGCAGAGGACAGTGAAGGAGGCAGGAAGGGCGGGCAGGTGGGCCAGGCTTGAGCGGAAGCCCGATTTCCTCTCTGCCCGGAGGCTTAATGGCACGCATCCTTGGCAGCGCGTCTGAAAACGCGGCATCCGCTCGGTTGGAGCAGGTGCGCCCTGTCATGACACATCATGCAGGTACGGCCTTCTATGATGACAGATAAGGGTGGAGGGGCAGGGACAGCTGCGGGCAAAAGGAAAACAAGCAGCTCTTTAGAGAGACCGACGTCAAGGCCTGCAGCTCCGTCCTGCCTCCCACCTGCTCTTGGCCGACAGGAAGCTGCAGGGCCTTGACCTCCTTGACTCAGCCTGGGGGACGCCTGTCCGGACAATGTCTTGTGGATCAATTAGATCAGAGGCCAGCACAATTTGGGGAAGATGGGCTGAGTCCGCGGCTAGGGAGCCCCATGCGGCTCTTTGGCCCCTGGAGGGTGGCTCTTCCACAAAAATACCACGCCCTGGGCAAGTCTATGTTGAAGAAGTGGCGTTAGAGGAAGTTTCAGTTTAAAAAATGTGACTCTCAACGAAGAAATGTCAATCGTTGTGCTGTTGATATTTGGCTCTGTGGGCTAAGGAGTTTGCCGACCCCTGGGCTCAGTAGCATGCAGGAGGCCAGAGGCCTCACATGTGGCTTTTACGGGGCAGTAACAGCCCATCAGGCAGGAGGTGCGTGCTAACGGGAACCCCATCTTCCTTAAGGGGAAACAGAAGGGAGGGAAAACGGCTTGCTCACTGGAGACCCAGGAGAGGAAACGACAGGAGGAAAAGGAAAGTGGAAGCACCTTGCCCTGTGCCCAATGAGTAGGAAGTTGTTATTAAATATTAAAAGGATGCTTCTTTATCAGGTTTCTACTACAACAATTAAAAAGAAAAAATGAAAGAAGGAGGGGGGGGACTGGTAATCTCAAAATTTCCCGGAGCTCGTGGTTAAAAAAAAAATATATACAGATTTCCCCGCCCTGGCCGGTTTGGTTCAGTGGATAAAGCGTTGGCCTGTGGACCAAAGAGCCCTGGGTTCCACTTGGGTCAAGGGCACACATGTCTTGGTTGCAGGCTCCTCTCTGGCTCGGGCCCTGGGTGGGGCTCGTGCAGGAGGCCACCAATCGATGTGTCTCTCTCACATCGATGTTTCTCTCTCTCTCTCTCTCTTCCACTCTCCCTAAGGAATCAGGGGGAAAATATCCTTGGGTGGAGGATTCACAGAAATCCAGGTTCCCCAACGCTGAGATGAGGTCGGGGCGTCTGAGGTTCTATAAAGCACCTGGGGGTCTCTGATGCCCACTGCGGGCTGAGGACCACGCCCCTGGCCCTGCAGGTCCACGCACGCACGTACTCACCGTCCCCCTGGAGCTGTGGTCCTCACCTTTCGGTGGCAGCACAACCATTCCAGGCTCCCGGCCTGCAGGCGCCAGCCACAGAGTGGGGGCAGGGCCCGATCTATAACTGCTCGTTCTCACCAGCGCCCAGGTGATGCCCATGAGCTCATCAGGGACCCTGATTTGAGAACTTAGCTCCCCTGAACTCCCTCTGCCCATGCGGGATCGCAGAGCTTGCTTTTTAAATCAGATGTCCGGGGACAGCACCCCCTCATTCTCAGGTCACAGGCACGCTCTCCTAAACGGGAATGGCGGGCCTCACTTAGGGTACCTGAAGCAGGGTCAGGCCAGCTGCAGAGACAGAGGCCAGCCCAAAAGGGAGACCGTTCAGATCACGCTGATACAGAGTCATAGGGCCGGAGGCCCCCGAGGCCACAGCTCACCTTCCAAAGGGTCAGGCTGTCAGGAACGCAGTAAGAAGCCAATATCTTAAGAGCGGGTTCTTAAGAAGTTTAAGTTGCTCCCATGAGCCCTCTCGCTTTCTAGCTCCGCCTTGGGCAGCTGCGCCTGGACCTGAACTAGGATCACCTGGGAGCTTCTGAAACACAGGACTCAAATGTAACCTCTGAGAGCTGGGCTCGGCCTGAAAGCTTTCAAAGCTCCCGCACCCAGGCTGGTGGAGTTACGTGTGGGCAGAGTGTATGTGGACACTACAGAGGATGTACACGCATGGATATCTGCGACACTGCAACCTGGTCCCTTCAGTGTGGCATCAGGACGGAGAAGACTCAAGTTCAAATCTGCCTCTACAGATGGTGGGCACGTACGTGCATGCGTACGCTGAGTGGCCGGATGATGATAATCTTTGAACGCATAGTAATCTGGCCACTCAGTGTATATCATATAGAATAAAAGGCTAATATGCAAATGGTACCCTGGACCAGGAGTTCGACCAGCAGGCAGGCCAGCTAACTGCCCATGTTTCCTCTTGCTGACCAGGCTGGCCGGACCCCACCCATGCACGAATTCATGCACCAGGCCTCTAAAACAAACACACACACACACACACACACACACACACACACACACACACTGGGTGGCCAGATTATTATGCGTTCAGAGATCATAATAATCTGGCCACTCAGTGTGTGTTACAGTGCGATGACTTAAACACTTAGGATGTATCCTCTTGCACGTTTTATTGCATTATTTGAAGCCTTCATTTAAAATTATTTCTAAAAGAAGAAAAAAATCTAGCTTTGACTGCAATTGGCCTGGTCAATCGTTCTGAGCCTGTGTTCCCATGTGTGTGGCGTGGGACAATGTTTGAGGGCTACCATAGCACAGTAGGTACACAGTACAGAGTACGTACACTCGTGCACTTGCTCTGGGTGACTCCTGGTTCCATTCCGAGCACAATGCCTGCTCATGGCACACACTGGAAA